ACGAAGAGACAGATAGTGGAATATTAAGAGGAAAAAAATTGTATATCGGTAAATATAGTAGATATCCTGTGACCGCCCACGACTCTCACGCCCACGACTCTCACGCCCGTCTCACACCGCCCACGACTCTCACGCCCGCCGCCCACCGCCCACCGCGAAGATGCTGTCCGTGCTGAGCATGATGGAATCCGGACACCTGGACGGCGACGACGAGGACGACCACCACCACGATGAGGACGACCACCACGACGCCCACCCGCTCTCCAAAGCCGAGCTCAGAAAGGTACGAAAAAAATAGACATGCTTTCATTTTTTTCTATTTTTGAAACCCCCAAAATACCAGAAACTTTTTGCAACATCAGATGCTTCATTTACAACCAACACGAGTAGTTCAACGACCTCATTGCGAAGAACGCCGGTATAGCATCACACAGAACAATAACCACGACTTCAGGTTCATCTATAACTCCAATAACTTGTCTGACGAACTCTTCCCATCACTCCCTCTCATCACTCTCATCACTCCCTCTTCTCATCATTCATCGCTTCCTCCTCTCATCACTCCCTTCTCTCCCCACTCTCATCACTCCCTCTTCTCATCATTCATTCCTCCCTCCTCTCATCACAGTTAGGAATGGAGATTCGCTGTGATGGACAGGCAGCCTCCTTCGTTCTGTGGTCAAGGGCGTGCTCTAGCGTAGGAAAAGGAGAAATATATAAAAAAGAAACACATTAATAAACATGGATAGATATATAAATATGTAGGTAGATAGATAAATAGATAGATAGATAGGTAGGTATACAGATAGGTAGATATACAGATAGGTAGATATACAGATAGGCAGATATACAAATAGGTAGATAGATAGATAGAAAGGTAGATAGATAGATGGATAGATAGATAAGTAGATAGATAGATAGATAGATAGATAGATAGATAGATAGGTAGAAATAAAGAAAGAAATTACTACAATCAACAAATAATCAACACATGATATACAAACAGATGAACAAACAAACAGATATACAAGAAAGTAAATGTCCAAATGATAGAAATAAGAAAAACAAAAAGCTAGAGGCCACGCATCACTCCTCCCTTGACAAGGCTAATCTTCATCCTACACCATAAAAGCTTCAAACACGGCCCTTCCCGCCCGCTACTGATTTTATGCAGCGCCCTGGCCATTCAGCTTGTAAGTGGGGCCGTCTCACATTACGCTAAGCATGCTAATTACCCTTTCACGGCCAGACAGGGCTTTAATTCTCGATCTGTGATAATAAACTGTATTTTCCCCTCTTTTCTTGTCCCTTCAGAGCAACAAGCCCATTATGGAGAAGCGGAGGAGAGCGCGGATTAACACCTGTCTGAACGAGCTCAAGTCCCTTATCTTGGACGCCATGAAAAAAGACGTGAGTTTGAACTGTTGTGGTTTTGTATATTTTTTACGAGTCGGCAGAGAGAGAGAGAGAGAGAGAGAGAGAGAGAGAGAGAGAGAGAGAGAGAGAGAGAGAGAGAGAGAGAGAGAGAGAGAGAGAGAGAGAGAAGTGTTTTGCTTGGTGTAGTTGTGTCAGTTTGTATCTCTTGTTGTTTTTTCTCTCTCTTTGTTTTTGCTGTTTTTTTTTTCTTTCTCTTTCTCGTTTTCTCGTTTTCTTTTCTTTTCTCTCTTTCTCTCTCCTTTTGTTTGTATTTCCATATCTTTATGTCTCTCTGTATTTCCATCTCTTCCTCTCTCTCTCTCTCTTTCTCTTCTTCTTCCTTTCTCTCTTTCTTTCTTTCTTTCTCTCTCTCTCTCTCTCTCTCTCTCTCTCTCTCTCTCTCTCTCTCTCTCTCTCTCTCTCTCTCTCTCTCTCTCTCTCTCTCTCTCTCTCCCTCTCTCTCTCTCTCTCTCTCTCTCTTTCTTTCATTCTCTCTCTCTCTCTCTCTCTCTCTCTCTCTCTTCTCTCTCTCTCTCTCTCTCTCTCTCTCTCTCTCTCTCTCTCTCTCTCTCTCTCTCTCTCTCTCTCTCTCTCTCTCTCTCTCCCCCCCCTCTCTCTCTTTCTTATAAACAGGTACACTCACGGCCTTTAGCACTGGAGGCCTCACACCCTCCACTTTCTCCAGCGTTATCTGTGCCCCCTGGCCTCCTTGCCGCCCTTGATTCCCACGCCCACGCCCGCCGCCCCCGAGCCTCCAAGGGCCGGAGGTGGCGGCGGCTCACTCGCAGGGCGTCACGATTTGGGCGCAGTGTGCACCGCCCGGGGATCCGGGGCAGCCTCATCCGGCAGTCCTGGAGGGATGGAGGCCCTCGACGAATGAGGAAGAGAGAGAGAGAAAGAGAGAGAGAGAGAGAGAGAGAGAGAGAGAGAGAGAGAGAGAGAGAGAGAGAGAGAGAGAGAGAGAGAGAGAGAGAGAGAGAGAGAGAGAGAGAGAGAGAGAGAGAGAGAGAGAGAGAGAGAGAGTGAGAGAGAGAGAAAGAGAGCAAGTGAAAGACACAAATGTTATCTGATTATCTGAAAGCACCTTCTTTAAAACACAACCCGCAAGAGAAAGGAAACCGTAACGCGATCCCAGTTCATCAGGTGTTAGGAGTATAAGGTATCAAGGTGTCGGGTATTAGGGTAGTAGGGCTCTGGATACCCATTCTGATTACGGTTCAAGAGTTTTTCCGTCGGGCGGCGCAGAAGCAAGATTGTGATCGGAAATGAAGACCAGTAGAAAGCTGCTCCGTCAAGTCAAGAATGTGTGCTGGATCCATTTTCGTGTCTGTCTCCCAGGGAAGATTTTGAAGGAGGGGGGGAGGGAGGGGAGGGGAGGAGGTAGTGGCAGTGGTTTGTGGTCGCTGGCTCCAATTGGCACGGACGCGTTAACGGCTTCCTGATAACTAGGAGGGCGTCTGCGGGCGGCGGGCCCAGAGCGTGGGCGTGAGAACCCCATGAATGAGCCCCTTGAGTCGTTCACACAGTGGCTCGGAGGCGCCGCGGGTTACGTCCCTCTGCGCCGAATCCGCGGCGGCCGGCGGGGCGCTGGCTGCTCGGGCGAGGCTGCCGCGGCGATTCCGGGGCTGCTCGCCCTCCTCGCGCTTCGACGTGGGAGTAAAGGGAGTGGGAAAGGGGAAGAGAAGAAGGGAAGAGAGAGAGAGAAGTAGAGCGAAGGAGAGGGATTTCTGTGCCGAGGTTGATGTGTCTGTTATGCCTCTCTCGCACGGAGGTTGACCGTGGGAAGAGCAGGCCCGGTGGTCTTGTCATTCTCCCCCCCCCCCTTCCCCCTTTCTCCCTCCCTCCTCCCTTCCTTTCTCCTCCCTTTACTCCTTCTTTCTCTTCTCTCCCTCCTTTCCCCCGATTCCTTTCTTCCTCTATTCCTTCATTCGCTTTCCTTCCTTTCTCTCTTTCCTCTCTCCTCCTCCTCACTCCTTCCCTCCACTCCCCCCCCTTCCTCGCCCTCCCTCCCCCTCCCCCCCTCCCCCTCCCCACCCCCTTCTACCCCGTCTTCCCCCCCTCCCACGCGAGCCAACACGCCGCCCCTTCGTCGCCTCCAGCAGGTCCTGCCGACACTGCGCCGCTTCCGTGGCGGGAAATTGCTCGCAGGACGTCGGGTCTTGATTCCCTCTTCTGCTAAGTATGCTTCCGGTTGCATCGAGTTGCTTACCATTGCAATTGCATGCTGAGAGGACGCTACGATGGCTCTATTCCGTGATGCATTTAGCAACACACGCGTCTTGGTGTATTCACGTCTCTATCTAAATCTACTTCTATATTCATATCTGTTTTTATGTCCATATTTTCATCTGCTTTATCTTTATCTGTCCCTGTATCTACATTTATATCTGTATCTATATCTATATCTACATGTGCTTCTATGTCTTTAACAATACCTGTATCTTTATTTATAACAATGTCTGTATTTATATCAGTATTTATATCTCTATATCTGTATCGATATCTATTCCCTATACTTGTATCTTTATCTAGGTCTATATTTATACTCGTATCTATAGCAATATGCATATCTGTATCTGAGTCTGTAACATATACCTACACAAACCAAAATGAAAGTCTGAATCAAATCCAATCAAATCTAATCCAAATTCTAAATCAAAGTCTAATTCAAATTCAAAGTCTGAATGTGCATCTGGGCCCGCGAGCCTCGATTAGCTTCCGGCGCCGCGATTCCCGCTGGCGAGCGATGGCGACGACAAAGGTTCAAATCCCAGCGCCTGTCCTGCACCGGCTGCTGGACAGGTGGCGGGGACAAAGGCGGCCGTGGGAAGAGTCACATTCCTGGCGTTCCAAAGCATTCCCGTTCCCATGGCATTCCTGGCGGGCATTCCTTCGCACACAAGTCGCAGGGGTCGCGCGGCAGGTGGGTCGGCGCCATTGTTGTCTCTGTGACGTCACGAAGGGAGAAAGGTGGCGGGAAAGGGCGACGGCGCTGGCTTTTGTTTTCCGGCGTTTTAAACCTGATGTAGACTTTTGTGTCGCGTTGGAGGCAATCAACCGTCTATTTTATTATTATTATTTTTTTTATAATACTCAGTGTCAAATAGCTCTGGTTCTCTCGTTCCTTTATATTCTGAATGGTAAAACGGGGCTACTTTTAAAGGGGCAGCATGTCTGTATTCCATTCCGTGGGAGAATCCGTTTCCTCTCTGGCCCGTGAAAAGTGGGTATGATTTCCGAAGCATTATCTCCGCGGGCATCTGGCTTCTTCCTCCCCTCTCTCGCCCTCCTTCCCTCTCTCTCGTCCTTCTCTCCCTCCCCCTTTCCCTCCTTCCCTCCCCCTTTCCACCCCGAGTCCGCCCCTTTCTTAGGCTTCCATCCGGTTCTCCTCACCCCCCCCCCTCCTCGCACCTTCCCTCCTTCCCCTCGCCACCTGCCGCTCCCCCTTCAAAGGACAAGGGAGGAGCGAGGGGAAAGAGAGAGGGGAGGTAGGATGCGACTGTGGGAACGGCTCTCTTCCTTCCCCTTCCTCCTAGGGAATCCTGCCGCTGCGCATAAGGATCATTATCTGAAACGGATTTGAA